CTTGCCCACCGCCCTGCTGAGCAGAGCCAGGATCAACTCTCGCTCCATGTCCTGTCTGGGGGGGGGCTCCGACACGACCCAAAGGACGACCAGCAACTGGAGAACACGAGGAGAATGAGCACGGGAAGGAGGAACAGGAAGAGGAGGAGCGCGAGGATTCCTCAAGGATTACCCCAAGGCGGATGTGCCGGGAGAAGGAGAAGGAGAAGGAGGAGGAGGAGGAAAACGAGGAGGAAGACGAGGAGAAGGAGGACGAGGAGGAGGAGGAGGAGGAGGAGGAGGAAGACGAGGAGAAGGAAGACGAGGAGAAGGAGGAGGAGGAAAAGGAGGAGGAGGAGGAGGAGAAAGAGGAGGAGCACGACGAGGAGGAGCAGTGCACGAGCAGCGGAAGCGGCCAGGCAGCCAGGGGGAGGGAGGGAGGGATGGGGAGGGGCTCGGGACGCACGGTAAGACACCGCATCAACACGATGAGCCACGTCGGAGGTCCACGCGCACGCTCTGGGCCGACGCGGGACCCCAGTCCCCGAGCACTCCGGGGGCAGCAGGCTCCGCGCACGCGCAGGGAGGGGGATCCGGCGCCGACGCAACAAGTCCGCAGGAGCCTCCCAGTGTTCGTGCTCATGCTTTTCAGCATGACCAGAATGGGAGAGGGCAATAGAGAAAGAGAGAGAGAGAGGGAACAAACAAACAAACATGGTCGACCCACGAACCCGGAAAGGAATATAGAGCTGTAACGCATGGCAGCGTTTTCAAAGACTCCTGATTGAGTGACGGGCAAATGCAATGCTGAGAGTATCGATCTTAATATACACTGCCGAGGTCTGTGCTGTACTGCACCGTGCTGAACTGCGATGTTCCATGCCGCGATTGTGCTCTGTAGCGTCGTGGATCGAGTCCGCCTTTGCATCCGAGTCCTGACCGAACTGATCTGGATCTTAAGCTCGAGCTGCCTGAACACATAGTAGCTGCCCCAAAGCTAATTGACAGGGGGGACATGCCAGGAGGACGCGCCGCGAAACGTCTCAAGGGACGCGCCAGGCGACGTGCCAGGGGACGTGCCATGGGGTCACACCGCCAGACGTGCCAAGGGGACGTGCTACGGAACGTGCCAACGGATGTGCCACGGGATCTGCCAGGGGGACTCGCCACGCGACGTGACAGGGGGACTCGCCAATGGACGCCCCACGGAACGTGCCAAGGAACGTGCCAAGTTGCAATGCTGAATGTATCGATCTTGATGTACCGTACCGAAATCTGTGCTGTGCTGCTCCGTGCTGAATTGCGATGTGCCATGCCGCGATTGTGGTCTACAGCGTCGTGGATCGAGTCCTCCTTTGCATCCGAGTCCTGACCGAACTGATCTGGACCTTAAGCTCGAGCTGCCTGAACACATAGTAGCTGCCCCAGAGCTAATTGACAGGGGGACATGCCAGGAGGACGCGCCGCGGAACGTCTCAAAGGACACGCCAAGCGACGTGCCAGGGGACGTGCCATGGGGTCACACCGCGGGACGTGCCAAGGGGACGCGCTACGGAACGTGCTGGGGACAAGCGTTTCGCTCGAGACATCCTAGCAACATCCAAGGAAATCATTGAAAAAATGATCGACCCACGAACCCGGAAAGGAATATAGCAATGTAACGAATGGCAGCGTTTTCAAAGACACCTGATTGGGTGACGGGCAAATGCAATGCTGAGTGCATCGATCTTGATGTACCCTGCCGAGGACTGTGCTGTGCTGCGCCGTGCTGAATTGCGATGTGCCATGCCGCGATTGTGGTCTACAGCGTCGTGGATCGAGTCCTCCTTTGCATCCGAGTCCTGACCAAACTGATCTGGATCTTAAGCTCGAGCTGCCTGAACACACAGTAGCTGCCACAGACCTAATTGACAGGGGGACATGCCAGGAGGACGCGCCGCGAAACGTCCAAAGGGACGCGCCAGGCGACGTGCCAGGGGACGTGCCATGGGGTCGCACCGCCAGACGTGCCAAGGGGACGTGCTACGGAACGTGCCAACGGATGTGCCACGGGATGTGCCAGGGGACGCGCCACGCGACGTGACAGGGGGACTCGCCAAGGGACGCCCAACGGAACGTGCCCAGGAACGTGCCAAGTTGCAATGCTGAGTGTGTCGATCTTGATGTACCGTGTCGAAGTCTGTGCTGTGCTGCTCCGTGCTGAATTGCGATGTGCTATGCCGCGATTGTGCTCTATAGCGTCGTGAATCGAGTCCTCCTTTGCATCCGAGTCCTGACCGAACTGATCTGGACCTTAAGCTCGAGCTGCCTGAACACATAGTAGCTGCCACAGACCTAATTGACAGGGGGACATGCCAGGAGGACGCGCCGCGAAACGTCCCAAGGGACGCGCCAAGCGACGTGCCAGGGGACGTGCCATGGGGTCGCACCGCCAGACGTGCCAAGGGGACGTGCTACGGAACGTGCTGGGGACAAACGTTTCGCTCGAGACATCCTGTCAAAATCCTCGTGCTAGACATCCGCCTGAGCGACCTGGACACGTGAAAACAAGCGTTTCGCTCAACACATCCTCAACACATTCTCATGCTAGACATCCGCCTGGGCGACCTGGGCACGTGAAAACAAGTGTTTCGCTCGAGACGTGTTCAACACCTCCTCATTCTAGACATCCGCCTGGGCGACCTGTACACGCGAAAGCAAACGTCTCGCTCGAGACATCCTCAACACATCTTCATGTTAGACATCCGCCTGGGCGACCTGGACACGTGAAAACAAGCGTATCTCTCGAGACATTCTCAACACATCCTCATGCTAGGCATCCACCTGGGCAACCTGGACACGTGCAAACAAGCATCTCGATCGAGACTTCCTCAGCACATCCTCTTGCTAGACATCTGCCTGGGCGACGAGGACGCGTGAAACCAAGCGTCTCGCTCGAGACATCCTCATCAAATCCTGGCGCTAGACCTCTGCCTGGGCAACCTGGAGGCGTGAAACCAAGCGTCTCGCTCGAGACATCCTCAGGACCTGGGCTCATGAAAACAAGCATTTCACTTGAGAGATCCTCTGAATCCGAGTCCCCAGGAGAGGACAATCTATAACACAAAACAAGCGTTTCGCTCGAGACATCCTCAACATATTCTGAAACATAACCGTTTCGCTAGGGACATCCTCAAAAACAATTTCGCCGGCCCACCTCGACCTCGATATTTATCAGGGAATCATTCCGCCGGCCCACCTCAAGTCAGGTCCGGGGGTAAACAGCTAAAAGAAAACCCTGGGCCTAAGCCCTTTCCGGGAAAAACAGATAGAGAGACAGAGAGAGAGAGAGCGAGCGAGCGAGCGAGCGAGAGCGAAAGCGAGAGAGGGGGGATGGAAAAGGGGCGGCAGCAAGAGAAGGATGGAGGCCGGAGGCGGGAGGGGGGATAGCGGACCAGCTCCCACTCCATGCCCTGTCTGGGCCCCCCCTCCTACACCTCCTCCCCGTCCTTCCCTCTTCGATGCTCTGCCTGACAGTCCGCCTCTCCTCCTCCTCCCTCCTCCTCCTCCTCCTCCTCCTCCTCCTCCTCCTCCTCCTCCTCCCCCTCCTCCCTCCTCCTCCATACGCTCCTCCTCCCTCCTCCTCCTCCTCCTCCTCCTCCCTCCTCCTCCTCCTCCTCCTCCCCGCTCATCCTTACTCCTCCTCCCCCCTCCTACACCTCCCCGTCCTCCCCTCTTCGATGCTCTGCCTGATAGTCCGCCTCTTCTACTCCTCCTCCTCCTCCTCCTCCTCCTCCTCCTCCTCCTCCTCCTCCTCCTCCTCCTCTCCTCCTCCGCCTCCGCCTCCTCCTCATCCTCCTCCTCCTCCTCCGCCTCCGCCTCCGCCTTCGCCTCCGCTTCCGCCTCCCCCTCCTCCACGGAGCCAGCGCCCCATCGGACTGACGTCATGCGCGCGACCGGTGGTCGGAGCGTCCAGCAGAGCGTCCAGCATGAGCGCCCGGCATCGGCGTCAGACACGCGACGGGGCGGGCGAGGCGGGACGGGCGAGGTCGAGCTGGTCCGCCACCAGCCGACGATCGGACGCGAGGCTACGCCTCCTTCGTGTGGTGCGCAGCAGGAGGTTAGACTACCGTTAGCTCGGAGGGCTTCGGAAGGGTTTTGAAAGGGCTGTCGTCGCTTTGGGAGGAAACCATTCCCCAGGGAACCCTGGAACAAAAAATGACATAAACATAACAACTCGGAGGTCCGCGCGGATTTCTCGGATCGGCGCTGGGGCCCCCCGGCGGCGCCTCTGGCGCCGCCCCTGGCGCGCTCCGCGCGCCAGGGAGGGGGGTCCAGCGCCGATCCGAGAAATCCGCGCGGACCTCCGAGTTGTTATGTTTATGCCACTTTTTGTTCCCCGATTCTAAGACTGCCTCCGAGTTTTATGTTGATGCCACTTGTTGTTCCCCGATTTTAAGACTGCCTCACTTTGGGAGGAAGCCAGCCCCCCATTCTGAGACGAATGTTGGAAGGGCTTCCGTCGCTTTGGGAGGAAGCCAGCCCCCTGTTCTAAGACTATCTCACTTCTTTTTTGTTTGGAACTCGTACGCAAGCTGCTGCGGGCGCGAATTCCAATAGCACTAGTTCCCGGCTTCTGCGTGAACTTCACTGAAAGCGTGCCCTATCAACGCCAAAGCCCGACACCCAGAGTTGGAAATCGTTGTATCTGTAACAGGCGTGCAAGCAACATGCACAACCGATGTAAAGCAGTGCGCAGAAATGAGTGCCCACCAGGATGTGTTTCCCGCCAGCGACCGATGTTCTGAACCTGTACATCCAATGCGCTCACTAAACTAAAGACGAACAATGTGAAAGCACGCGAATCCGAAAACTAAGCTTGCGAGGCTCGGAAAAGACAACGTGCCGCCGCTAATCGTCGTCGGCGTTGCATCGCATTCTTCAGGGCCACTCCGCACAACGAATTGGCCAGTGCAAATCTTTGGAAACCAGTTGAAGCCGTCACCAGGATACATGCACACTTTCCATGACTCGCCATAGCTGGCCCCACCGTTTGGCTTGAAAAGGACCTTGAGGGAACGACCGTCAGGCTCAGCCTCGATGCCTTTGAGGATGGGCTGCGATCCTGCATCCCACTCATGCGTGCTCCACTCAGTGAACTGCATTACTTCCGCGGGGCGCGAGAAGACCCAAGGCAACTCATCGCCTTCCTTCCAGCCGCCTATGAGCGCTCGATAAGAGGCTGAGGCGTCTGGGGCTGTGAAGATCATTGGAACAAGCGTCTCGCTCCCTTCAACAAGGCAATCGACTGGAATCTCTGCTGGTGGTTCCAAAGCAAACATCCCATCGTCCGAACGACCCATTTGCACGGTGAAATTCATGACATGAGCATCCGTGATGTTTGAATTGTTCGCCGAGCAAGACACCGTCCACAGAAAATGCTCTATCAGGCTATCCTTTCCGCCCAACATGTTGTCGAAACCACGAAATGTGTACCTCACCGTGACGTTGCTCAGACCAAAGTCAATGACTGTTCTTCCGACGATTGGTACCCCTGGCTCAGAGTATGAGGGCAGCGGAGGAGTTGACGTGACCCCTGTGGCTCCCCACCTGCACTCCTCTGGGAGAATGCACGTGCTCTCTAGTGAATGCTCTTCTCCGACTTTCATTGACAGTGGTCCGGGGTCGGAGCAAGTGATGACGGAAGAGGCAACGTCCACAACAACGAACGCGCACATGTACATCAAGACCGACATTACTGCGAGATCAACCCAGATGCCACTGCAAGATCTCCTGGCTTGATTGTCAGACCCACCAACGTGAGGTTACAAGAAGTTGGGCCAAAATATGGCTTGAGCCAAAATGGCTACGGAGTTCTAAGACTCTCACTTTGGGAGGGCACCAGCCCCCTATTCTGAGACGAATGTTGAAAGGGTTTTCGTCGCCTTGGAAGGGTTTTCGTCGCCTTGGAAGGGCTTTCGTCGCCTTGGGAGGAAACCAAGTCCCCAGGGAACCCTGGGCTTGCTAAGACCACCCCACGCCGTGCCTCCGAGCGGCCCCCGAGGGCCTCTGTGGCACACTCGGAGCCAAGGCTTGAGCAGGGACCGACCGTCCTGGCTTTCCTATAGTCCTACCACGAAATGTTCTTAGAACCCAAGACTGTTCTAATAATAAAAACAGTGTTCTTAGAACATAAGCCCGATGCGATAAAGCAAGACAGCCTCCGCCAGACAAATTCTAAGAACATTTCGTGTAAACCACCAGAAAGGTTCTTGGAACATTGTTTGGTAGGGCTATTGGCGAGCCAGGACGCTTCGCCACTGCTTGAAAGACGCGCAGCTCCGACACAGCACCGCCGGAGCTGCGTGGCGGGGCCCCGCGCGGGCGGGAGGTCGCCTCGCGGGCCCCCCAGCTGGCGAGTCCTGCTCTCCCGTGGGCCCCTCCCAAACATGATCGACCCACGAACCCGGAAAGGAATATGGAAACAAATTCCGAAAAACAAGCGTTTCGCTCGAGAAATCCTCACATCTTAATTCGCCGGCCCACCTCGACCTCGACACTTATCGCAAAAGGAGTTCGCCGGCCCACCTCAAGTCAAACCCGGGGGGAAACAAACTAAAAGAGCTGGGCTTAAGCCCTTTCCGGGAAAAGGTGATTCCTTCTCATCTCGTGGCTCATGGGCCCTGGACTTGGCCCTCTTTCTCATGGGCCCTCCGAGTAGGATTTCTTCTCGTGGGGCACCCCGGGTGGGACTTCTTCCCGGGGGGCTCCCAATCGGGATTCCGTCTCAAGGTCCCCGCAGTTCAGACTCCTTCTCATGGCTACCACTTGGGAATGCTTCTCATGTGCCCTCCAATCTGGGCACCCTTCTCGTGGGGCGCACCTGCGACACCCCCCCGCGCGATACCGCTGCCAGCAAGCGCGCATGTCAAGTCGCGCAGCGAGGCGCCACTCCTGGAAGAAGAAAAACAACGCCATGCAAATGAACTGTTGGCGCTCCGCGCGGATCTCCTGGATCTGCGGAGAGGGTCCAGCGCAGATCCAAGAAATCCGCGCGGAACGCCAAAACATTATGCTTGTGGCGTTGACTTCTTCTTCTTCGAGCTCCGATCGCTGAGCGAGACCGCCAACCGGCTGCGGGGCGAACCCCCGCCGCCGATGCGACGCCGCTGCGCCAATCCCCGCGCGAAGCGAGGCCCCCCGCGGAGGCGACGCGCGACGCCTCCCCAACTTGAAAAGCGGCCGCGTGGAGTAAGACTCCCCCTCCTCCTCCCCCCCCTCCTCCTCCTCCCTGTCATTCCTTCCCTCTCCTCCTCCTCCTCCTGCTCCTCCTCCTCCTCCTCCTCCTCCTCCTCCTCCATTCATTCTCCTTATAAATAACTCCTCCCTGTCGCACCCCGAGGCCAGTTTGTTAGGACGGGCCAGGCGTTTCGCCTGAGACTTCCCCACCATGTATGACTCTGAAGCTCAAAACAATACAACAGCTTCACATATGGAGGGCGGGTCGTTTTCAAAATGTGGCTCTCGCCTTAGCGCCGCGCACATTCGTTTTTTTACATTTGCCAGAATTTCACGAATTGCGGGCGGTTCCTTTTCAAAATGTGCCTCGCGTCTTAGCGCCGTGCACATTCGTCTTGAACATCTGCAAGAGTTTGACGGAATCCCATGATCAGCGTACCAAAAACGGTGTTTTCGAAGGATTCAGGATTACGCGGGTGCAACAGTTATGTTGGTTCGCCATGTTGAAGTCCCAATAAAATGATCGACCCACGAACCCGGAAAGGAATGTAGAACTGTAACACATGGCAGCGTTTTCAAAGACACCTGATTGGGTGACGGGCAAATGCAATACTGAAGGTATCGATCTTGATGTACCCTGCCGAGGGCTGTGCTGTGCTGCGCCGTGCTGAATTGCGATGTGCCATGGCGCGACTGTGCTCTATAGCCTCGTGGATCGAGTCCTCCTTTGCATCCGAGTCCTGACCGAACTGATCTGGATCTTAAGCTCGAGCTGCCTGAACACATAGTAGCTGCCCCAGAGCTAATGGACAGGGGAACATGCCAGGAGGACGCGCCGCGAAACGTCCCAAGGGATGCGCCAGGCGACGTGCCAGGGGACGTGCCATGGGTCGCACCGCGGGACGTGCCAAGGGGACGCGCTACGGAACGTGCCAATGGATGTGCCACGGGATGTGCCAGGGGACGCGCGACGCGACGTGCCAGGGGGACTCGCCAAAGGACGCCCCACGGAACGTGCCAAGGAACGTGCCAAGTTGCAATGCTGAGTGCATCGACCTTGATGTACCGTGCCGAAATCAGTGCTGTGCTGCGCCGTGCTGAATTGCGATGTGCCATGGCGCGATTGTGCTCTATAGCCTCGTGGATCGAGTCCTCCTTTGCATCCGAGTCCTGACCGAACTGATCTGGATCTTAAGCTCGAGCTGCCTGAACACATAGTAGCTGCCCCAGAGCTAATGGACAGGGGAACATGCCAGGAGGACGCGACGCAGAACGTCTCAAGGGACGCGCCAAGCGACGTGCCAAGGGACGTGCCATGGGGACGCATCGCGGGACGTGCCAAGGGGACGCGCTACGGAACGTGCTGGGGACAAGCGTTTCGCTCGAGACATCCTGTCAAAATCATCTGAATTCCTACGCGCGGGACGCTGCTCGCGCGAGACATCCTCGGAATTCCTGCGAGCGGGACGTGAAAACAAGCATTTCGCCTGAGACATCCTTTGAATTCTGGCCCCCCACGAGGCCACCGCTCGAGACATCCTCCAATTTTGCAAAACCAGCGTTTCGCTCGAGACATCCTCAACAAATTATGAAAACAAGCGTTTCGCTCGAGACATCCTGTCAAAATCCCAAGAAATCCAAATACCCGCGCGCGGGACGCGGCACGCGCGAGACATCCTTGGAATTCCTGCGCGAGGGGCGCTTTTCCGTGTCGCGGTCGGCTCTGCAAAACCAGCGTGTCGCTCGAGACATCCTCAACAAATTCTGAAACCAAGCGTTTCGCTCGAGACATCCCCAACTTTGCAAAACCAGCGTCTCGCTCGAGACATCCTCAACAAATTCTGAAAAACAAGCGTTTCGCTCGAGACATCCTCAAACATAATTTCGCCGGCCCTACTCCGTGCGTGCCCGCTCGCAAAATAATTTCGCCGGCCCAAGTCGCAGGGGGGCCGGGGGGTTAACCTACTAAAAGAGAACCCTGGGCTCGCGCCCTTTCCGGGAAAAACGGCGCTCTGGCACGATTCCGGGTCGTCAAAACGCAGCAGTCAGGTTGATACTCGGCGTTGAAATCCTGAGAACCATGTTTTGGCATGCGTCAGGGTCTTCAAACGGTTGTCTTCCACCGAGGCAGTTCCCTCCATGGACATGAATCGCTGTGGGGGCCTATGAAGAGGGAGCTTGGAGGGAGGGTGAAAGCCAACCTCGTTGATGACTCGTGGTTTTGCACTGGTCCTCCTCCTCCTCCTCCGCCTCCTCCTCCTCCTCCGCCTCCTCCTCCTCCGCCCCCTTCCTCCGAAACCAGGACGAGGACAACATCGGGTGAGGAGAAATCGGGAATCTCTGAGATCCGACGGCCCTGGAGGACGTCTCGGGCGCCGCGGCCTCCTCTGGAACCGCTTCGTCCTCGCCCCAGCCCCGCCAGATGGAGACAGACGCGGGAAGGGGGAGGAGGAGGAGGAGGAGGAGGAGGAGGAGGAGGAGGGGGGAGGAGGAGGAGGAGGCGGAGGACGGAGGAGGAGGGAGGCAGGGGAGGAGGAGGAGAGGATGGGAGCGAGGGTAGGAGGAGGAGGGGAGGAGGAGGAGGATGGAGGAGGAGGAGGAGGAGGAGAGGAGGGAGGGAGGAGGAAGGAGGAGGAGGAGGAGGGCGGGAGGAGGAGGCGGAGGAGGGAAGGAGGAAGGAGGAGGAGGAGGTAGGAGGGAGGAGGAGGGAGGAGGGTGGAGGAGGAGGAGGAGGAGGAGGAGGAGGGAGGAGGAGGAGGAGGAGGGTCAGTTCCCCGCTCCGACCGCGAGGGTGCCGGGGCGAGGGCGCAGCGCACCGCGCCCGCCACAGCGCGGAGGCGAGACCCCCACCGGGCACGACGCCGCCGCGCCGCCCCCGGCCGGGCGAGCGGCGCCCCGCCGCGCAGGCGGGGCGCCGCTCTTTCGGCCGCGGCGCGCGGCCGCCGCGCACCCGTCGCGGAGGCGAGGCCCCCGCCGGCGCGGCGCGGCGCCCCCGCGCGGTGCTCCCGGGAGGCGCGAGCGCCCGGTGGCGCCGAGTGTGGAGCGAGGCCCCCGCGCCGATGCGACGCGGCCGTGCCAGCCCCTCTCGAGGAAAGAGAGCTACAGTCGGGGCGTTGACCTAAGG